CTCTGGGGGAAGGACAGCCAGCAACTGTTCCAGGAGCACCAGGTCCAGCATCTGAGCCTTTGTGTGTTTTTCTGGTTGCAGCCACTGACGACAAAGGTAGTGAAGCTGAGTGCAAACATCTCGGGGACGGCTCCCCTCCTGAAACCGCACTTTTCTGAAGTAACAGGACTGGACCTCTGAAATATTGGATGCCTCTTTGTGGCTCTTCTGCACAGGACTTGCCCCATTCTTCCCACAGCTCCATGGCTGAGCAGTTGGAGGGATTTTTCTAATTTCTGCTTCTGCTGGGTGTTGTCCCTTCATCTTCTCTCTGGTCTCTAATCCAGCTCCAAAATGGACCCAAGGATCTCCACAGGACTTTCTGTTCACAAGAGGTTTGGCCAAATTTTCCAAGGCCATCCAGTTCATTTCCCGGACAAGATACTTAAGATTCCAGAAGAAGCAGAAAATATTTTGAGGTTACGTATCTGATATGAAAATGGGGAGGAGGAGAGGGAAGAGAAGATTAAGCAAGAAATTCATATGAACCCACCAAATTGGGAGGTGAAATCTTATTAGTTAGCTTGCTCTCTGTACATATGGGAAAATTGCAGTGAACCTTTCAGGATCAATGTTTATCAAAATATTGGAAAACACATTTAAATGTGATTTTGTATTTCTACTTCTTAGTTTTTATTAAAAAAATTTTTTTTCTTATGCCTTATTATTGTTGTTGTTATTGTTATTATTATTTACTCTAGGCGGAAATCATACATAATACTACTTCTTACTATATTCCCCACAATAGCAGAAGTAGTTGGCGCTCAACGCTTTCATGTCAAAGGTTGGATTAGAAAGTTAATCTCCTGGTTTCAAACCTTGTGATGTCATCACTGAACCAAATGGTTCCCTCTGGCTAACCATAATTTAATATATAATTTAAAAGGCATTTCTATGGCTCGCTTGTCTGAGCCTAGGAAGGGGAAGGAGGGGGAATCCCTTCTGAAAACGGGGACAACAAA